TATTTTTAGAAGAAGCTACTTTTTCATCATTATCGATAATACCATCAACAAAAGCCCTTCGAAGTGCCTTTACATCGGTCTGAACTAGGGAACTAATTTTAAAACAGGTCTGAAACAGGGTATTGATTTTAGGGTCAGGTCTTAAATGAGGTATCAAATTTAAGATCAGGTCATAAATAAGGTGCGGAAATCACAGATTTTGGACTTTAATAAGGTATTTTTCTGGGAGTACCCATCCATTCTTAAGAAAGAACAAGTGAGATTATTAATTAATGTTCACCACTCAAGGACCTGTATCACTGGATTTAAATGTTATTTGTATTAGACTACTTTCTCAGTACGCACGATGGCAGAGGACCGGAACAAGTAAAAGGGCCGTGTTGCTCTGAGTATACGCAGCCGGTCACGCTAACCTGAAAACCGTGACATGAAAATCTTCAGGCTGCACGTGCGCACGTCATGATCAGTAACTCCGGCATTCCATTCAAGCGCAATCGTTCGTTTAGTCTCCGACAAAACCTTACGGAAGTGGACCATGACGTTCTTGTTACAGGTAATTTAACGAAATTGGAGGTCTTTGAGGCTTAAATTTTTAAACCTAATTATACAGCTAACATAAATTACAGCTGTATTCTCAAGTTGGAAAGAACAGGCAGTTAGGCAGGCTGCGAAAATAATATGCAACAAAGCTTATCAGCTTCAACTGCAATATTGATTTAAGTAATGAGGAGTAGGGATGTTTTCCACACATGTTAATCGCGAATTTCTTTCAAATTTCCTCGTGGATCTGTAAGAGTCCATGCCTATTGCTGCACTGTTTTGCATATAGCTTGCAGTCAATGTGCATGACAGCGCATCGATGACATAACATGGCGGTATCTGTAGTCCTTTGTGTTCGTCTAGTTTGTCGGTTGCATGCATTAAGAAGTAAAGATCGAATTTCGATCGACTGAAACATCGATAATTCTAACTTGTTTATAACAAGGACCAGTATTTTAATTGGCGTGTTACCGAATATCAACAATGCGCCGGTATTTACATGTAATAGTTGTATATCATAACGACATTTTAGCGGGCATTTTAGACTTTGGAATGTAGAATACATTAAAAAAAAAAAAAAAAAAAAATACTACGGCTGGTGCTACTACGGCTGCCGTGACTGAAAAGGTCTGGGGAAAGTACGTCTCGGTGGTCTGCAAAATTTTAAGTTTAGCGAGTAAAGCGAAATACAAAGATGAAAGAAACATCGTCTAAGGAGTTTAAAATCTCTTTTATTTAGTTTCTCACAGCCAAATGGCTTCGGTCAAAGGACGATGGCCGTTATTCGGTAGGACGAACAGATTATTCTCAGCGAAAGCGAATGTCATACACTTTGTACCATAACAATTTGATGGATGAAATACATAATTTCAGAGACAAATATCTCAAAGAATATCGAGCGAAGAACACAAATATATCAATACTTAGAGAAGCAAAATAGCATCATATAGTTATCCAGATATAAAACATCTTCACTAAACCCTCAAAGGAAACTTGACCGAAGAAAAAAAAACCTCGTGCTCAACACGAATATTTCTCTTGACTCGCTTCGCCATTCCAACAACTTTGCCAAAACTTATCGTAAATTCAGGATACGGATTTACAAGCTTATGAAAGGCAACGTTGACACAATCTTTGACTGAAATTGAGTTTAAAGGATATAGTATCCAATGGAATTCTTAAAATGCCGAGATGTCCATTGAAAAGGGCCAGAGAAGCGAAATAAACCCGAAGTAGTAGCCACTACGGCAGAGCATCCCGACTCACGTAGTCTGATTTCACGCTACGGCTGGATGCAACCGACGTACATGCGCAGTGTCTCATTTTGGGAGAAATTTACTTCCGGTAGCCGTATCAGAGCCAGCCGTAGCGATTTCCTTAAACTCCCTAATGAAAATTAGCCAATGAGCACGCGAGAATTTCTGCAGTTATTGTAAAAATCGGAATAGCCTTTGAACGCGGATATTCATATACATTAAAACCAAGCGCGCAATTCATCGGCCAGTTTGTTGTCCTAGAATATGGAAAAAAAAGTGTCTGAAACGCCTTCCATGTCAGATATCAGAGGCACAAGAAATGGAAACGCTAGGGGAAAGTCGCTTTGCATACAGACTTGACAAAACCTAAAGCAAAGCAAAAGTTTAAAAGTTAAATAGTATACATGTAGTTTGCCTCTTACAGCAACCTTAAATCTGTAGTCGCTGATTACTAGTTCTTCCTCATAGACTCCAGAGTGCAAGCGTAAAAGTTGACGGTTTCGTCAAACGTGCATGAATGCAATTAGATCTTTTTCGTCAATAAAACTGTAAACTGAATTTTCCCACACATTTAACAGGACGTTGATAATTATAAAAGACCCCTTACAAAGATCGATCGACGAAATTTATCCAAACTAAACACAAGGTAATGTGAGTTTGGAATCAAATTGAAATCTGGGTCTTGCAGGAAAAGTGATTCCTGTAATCACGTACTCGTTTTAAAGGTAGAAAAATATGTTCTTTTACTAAAACAATGACTCCGCCAGCTGCAAGCTAATTCAACGCTACCTTATTTCACTCCAAAGAAAAACGTGCTTAGATGGCTCCTTGAAATGTTGAAAAGGTTATAAGTGTTTTCAAAGCAGTGTACGGAATCTGGCATTAAAATGGCGCCACGGGTGTAAATGTTCGTAGATGACAAATAGTACAGGCAAAGAAACACGTTTATCAATGTCTTTGCAACTGTATTGAACGCTCTGAAACGAACGCTGAAAATCAACGGCAATATCCAAACAAGAGTCTGTGACTAGAAGGGATAGCTGTCACATTCCAAAAACCCAAGAATATGGCTGACCATTTAAGAGTACACAAGCCTGTAAACTATTTATTATTTAAGTACCATTGCTTTAATTCCAAATTTTTAAACATCATCCTAGATACATGTTTATTATTCCATTCACAAGAACTCTTAAGATTCTCTTATTCATTTGTAATTTTGACCAACCGTAAAATTAGAGAAACAGTTCGCTGTTGAATTAAGTTTGTGACTGTGAATGAACAAGAAATCCTTATTGCCTTAAAACTTGTTAGAATTACATTAAATAATAGTTTATATGTGACATGGTCCTTTTTCAAAGTAAAATTTCATTGTAGTTTGGTTGTGGTTAGAGACGGTGCTCAAATTGAGTCGAGAGTCAAAATCTATGCTTCACAAAGCAATATATTCTTAAGACAGCAGCAACATCATGTCTCACGTTGCAATCAGAATTATGTACAATGCTCTTTTACAGAAAGTATGTTTCGTTTTACAATTCAAGAGCGTAAATATAATTTACATCATCAACACAGGGTTTCTAAAGTTCAGTATCCAAATTTTCCTGTTCAAAGGCCAGTTGACTTCTGTCTGTACGTAATGTTCTTAGCTCCATCGCCGGCGCCACAGCAAAAGTCTTTTTCCTTCTTCTTTTAATATTTACCATGTTGGGGGCGGTCGCTGGTCTTCTTAACCAGCACAAAACCAGGGCTTCTCTAAACTCAGGTATTCTTAATGCGTACACAACTGGATTCGCAAAAGGATAGGAGTAATTTATAACGTTCACCAGGTGATAAAATTTCCATGGTATCTGGACATCATAGACATAGATTAAACAGTTGAAAATAACTAAAGGAAGACACCACGACAGCAAAGTAAGAATAGATACAAACAACAATGTCTTTGTTAAGCCTTTGTTTAGTGAGTCTCTGTTTTGCTGTTGCGAAGCGATATTTCCGTGCCTAAACTTTCTCCAAATGCCGATGTTACAGCCACATATGCTGAATATCAGAATCAAGATGTATGGCGTCCAAACATGCACAGCACGTTTGTATGAAATCAAGAAATACGATGTACTCCAGAGGGCGGTGATGACGAAAGTCAGTGCCCACACAGAAAAAATAATAATACGGTATGCTCGCATTGACAGTGTTCGGTGCTTAAACGGCCAGCAAATGGCGTAAAATCTCTCGCCTGATACGAAAGCTGCAGAAATTAACGACGCCTGCGAGAAAAGAAAATCAATGATCGTGTAGAAAATTGACAAAGACATCGACCAGCCACCGTTCCAAAGCTGGAAACTCTTCCCAACGCGGTAAATGTAGAGCGGTAGAGTCAAAGTTCCTAGCATCAGGTCAGCAAACGCCATATTGACGACTAGAAACAAACTTCTTTTATGAAGTCTCCTGTCCACCGCAAACAGAGCAATGGTCAGCAAGTTTCCTACAACAATAAACACAAATGATAAAATAAAACCGGTGCACAATGCAATGCCTTCTGCCTAGGAAGGAACAATTCTTGATGAGCCAGTCGTGTTTTCAGAGCTAGTGTTAGCTGCTGCTGTGCTATTCATTTTTCACTTTTCCCTGAACTTTTCCAAACGCCGATTAAACTTTGCCCATTAAACTTTTTGCGATAAGGATGCATTATTACTAGATGAGGGACTGAAACAGGAGATTTACAATCTGCATATTACTAAGACCGATCATCGAGGACTAATTCAACAAAGTTCCATTAACACTGAATGCCTCAATTAAGACGTCTATCTTACCTTCAGAGTTGACGCAGTTTTTCAAAACATCAGCATACATCTGTGTAATCTCAACAACGGCGAATGTGTTATTTTATTTTATTTTTATTTTTTTACGGTAATTTGAATAGGAAATGAGACCTTAGAGGAGACTGAATTACACGCGAGAATTTGGTTTTTCTTTTTCACAGAAATCACACTTGAGAAGTTTAATGACGCTCTATCATAACTTTTCCCTAAGAAGTCAGAGCCAAAAAGTATCTTTACTTTAATGAAAACATCAAAAATACTAATCTTGGTTTTGATTAAAAAAAATAAATAGGAAGAAGCTGCGCTACTAGTGAAAATGTAACTACAAACTACAATATCGTGATCTGAATTTCAGAAGGCCGACAAACGTCTTCAAAATGTTTTCTCAACTCCCGTTTGACTCTGTTCCGCTCAAAGCTATTTGTCAAAGGATTACTTTTTTTTTGTCGCTTCTCTTCCAATTACTACCTCTCTGGAGTCTAGCTGTCATGTTCGTGCCAGCAGTTAGATTACAGATCTCTTTGTATCGTTTGTACATGTCCGTGATGTGATAAGCTCGTTATATGCAAATTACCTTGAAGTATTACCTGCGAAAAGCAATTACAACGTCATGTTTAAACTATTTTTAAAACACCTGTTCTATTAAGGTTAATATACAGATTTAACCAGTCGACTTAAAAGCGGAGTTCCTGACTGTAATAATAATATCTAAAAAGGAAAGAGAGGATTTGTTTTTCTTGGATAAGAAACTCAAAAAATGATCAATTGTGAGCATGTAATTGTTCCGCGTGTGGTTTCACTATTTTTCCAGTCAAATTTTAACCATCTACCCAATAGGCGTATCCAATTTTCTTAAGATTGTAGAAATTACGAACGCAATATATCAGGGACTTTCCAAGAGGCGATTGTGAAGGGAATATGTCGGAAGAAAAGTTAACGAGCCAGGGGCTGATTCGCGCCGAAATTTTGTCTTTGCACGTACTCCCCTCTCTCCCAGAATAATAACTTGGCTTGAGCCTGCGATCCAATCGTAAATCAGTACCTGGGCAGCGGTCAACTTCAAAAAAACCTGACCTCGCGATGTGGTTACGTGACACTGGTCAGCGGATACCTTGTTTTGACATCTGTCGATTAACCATAACATGGATGTTCAATATCAAAGATGTACCTATGGTAATAGTGTTGCTCTCCTATTTTTCAAGGTATGGAGCTTGGTGTACGGCAACCTCGTTCCCAGGCTCTGTCTCCTCTGCCTCCCTTAGTCGTTTGGAAGAAAGACCCTGGTTGCGGCTGGCCACGTGACCGAACGTCTATCAACTTTATTGGACACAAACTTTTCCACTACGGTAGAGTCAACGAATAATTTTTGTCGATCATCGCTGGTCATTACCATTTTAAATCACTCACGGGCAAATACATCTTTGACATTCTCCAGTTCTACTCTAAGCTTCACACAGGTCAAGCTTTATCTATATCCGGTGTACTGAAGTAGCACTCTGATTTCAATTCCAGCCGGTCAAATTAATAAGAAGTAAAACTGTTTCGCTGTTTCATGTTGCCAGAATCAACCTCACGACACATTGTTCGCTAAATATGTTTTATTTACCATTTCGCAAACTATAATTCTTGACTGTGCCAAGGAACCGTGTTTAAACATTTGTCTAAATATAAACTTACATAAACCTGATGCAAATGAACTATAAGCGCGGGTTTTTGTCAACAAAACGGTAAATCAATTTACATTGCTGTATAAAATCAAATGCAAGTCAGAATACTCGGCCAATTGGCCGTGTCACATCCAAAATACCGCACGAAGAAGAAAATAAATTCCATCCGAATTCAAAGATTCCAGAGACTGATGTACTGGTTTCACTTCGATTCGGTACATGGCGTTTTACATGTGCTAACCTTCGAAAAGTTTCTGCTCTATTCGGCTGCCGAATTTCTTTGAAACAAAAGTCTTCTATTTTTGGGAGACGGCAGAAATAATGTACCATTCTAGATAAAGCGGGTAGTTTTTAGCGATTGCTCGGGGTTTTGAAACCTGCAAAGTTTGTCACAACAACAATCATGATACTCTGCCACCCCTCCCACCGAACAGATTTTTTTACTACCCAGAGTTCACGTGACCAGCCGCAAACAGGGTCTGTCTTCCAACGACCAAGGGAGGCAGAGGAGAGAGAGACTGGGAACGAGGTTGGGTGTACGGACGTACGTTATTTAAGTACGGACACTCTAGTGACAACCAAAGTTTTTTAGATCGATGTGTTACCAAATTTTCTAAGGTCTGGGGCACCGCTTGTGCACCTTCGGCGCGCAGGAGCTCCATTGCCGTAGACCGTCAAAGTGCCTTCTGGGGAAATCTTTTTTGTGCGCGCTGCTACGAAGGACACCATGATAAAGTTTATATCATTGTAAAGCTAATAAATTGTAGAATCCGAAAATGAAAAAATATTTATTTATAGATTTCTTTTTTGGCAGGTATGCGCAAGTCTTTAAAGGCAAAGCTGACCGTACTTGCTAATTGCATAATTACCAGCCTTTGTGTCACCGTGTACTGCCGAGCAGACCAGACTATATCACTCAGAAAATGAGAAGTTAACAAAGTGTGTGAGTCCTTTTTGATATTTCTATTGGTTGTTCAGAGAATCCTTTTTGAAACTGGACAGAAGAGTTTTTTGTTAATCGCTGGACGTCACAACAAAAATATTTCTATTTCCGTAAAAGCTATAACAAATAAAGTATGTACGTATGTATGTAAAGCCCCTGACACATTTTAATGCCCTGATTTCTCATGATTTTCGATTAATCTGCATATTCTTTTGATTCATTTAAATAGAGACTCAAGCAAAAAAAAAAAAAAAAAAAAAAACACCTCTAATGATCCAGGCCTTCAACACTCCAGGAACACTTCGATTCATCATCGGCTTCTTTTGGTATTGTTCTTATAAAACCGACCTCCGCAAGTTAAAGTTGATCTTTATAAAATTCATCGATATATTCAGGTCCGTATAGTAACTGACAATTAAATTGAATACCGTTAGTTGTCGGTTGTTTTTCAAGAAGATTCGTAAATGTCGATAAGGGGCTTTCTTTGTTTTTCCCGCCTGAATCATCAGACAATGTTGCGAGGATCTGGTGCTATTTGTGATAATCAGCGGACCTTGGGCCTCTTTATATGAGCCCGGTAACCGGGCTGGCTCGGTTACCGGGACCAATTTCGTGGTCTGTTCATATGGGAAATTTCAGCCCGGTCTACCGGGATGAAATCCAAGAAAAACAACCAAAATGGTGGAATATAGACTTGCATCGTTTACGACTGTCGTGGCTTTGTGGACTCTTGTAACTTTACTAATAAAACTAATTCGCATACTCCTAAAATGGAAATGGTTGACCGGGCTCATATGAAGAGGCCCTTAATTAAATATATCAAAATTATGTTTCAAAGGAAGCAAAATATTTGTACTATTTGTTGAAATACTAATAACCGAAGCAAACTACAGTTGCTAGCTGGTAAGATATCACGAGATTCAACGTAACGCAATGTTTGAGTTCGTGACCGCGAATATACCCCATCGATGGTCATGTTTGGGTTCGTCTACTGGCGTTGGTCTGGATCTCCCACAAAGATCCTGTTTGGGTTTCTTTTTCTCTAAAATTTTCCTTCTATTGGTGATTTGAAGAACTTTGTAGTTCGCTTCGGAGAGTTGCGTGAAAATGTTTGAGTTAGTATTCTGAAAAGGATATTTTATCCTCTCGAATCCTCCAAGGTCAGTTAGTCTCTGTGGCTCACAGGCAGCTAACGATATGGTATTTAAGTGCGTGTACATTTGTTAGTCAGGTGGTAGAAGGAGAAGTAGTAGAAGTTAGACGGAGATTGTGCAAGACAGTAGTTTTAGAAATAAAAGACCCTAAGACCAGATTCTCGGTACCTTCCTTTATTAACAGAAGCAAACCGAATAAGCGAACAAAACTTTGAAATATAATTTTATAACCAAGGTAACGACAAACTCTTGAGTGGAAACATTAATTTTATTAGTTTACACGCTCATGGTCATTCAGGCGCCTCCCCCGTCCGCTCATGGGAAAAACTTACTGTTAGAGACCGGTCATTTATTAGAGGGGGTAAGGGGTGGGCTGGTGCAAATGAGGAGGGGGTTATTGGTATTTTGAGAAGGCATATTAGCGGAACTCCTACGCGCCGAACGCGGGTGGAAATATTTTGGATGCCACGTGACAGCCGTACATCTGTAAGTCCGTCCGTCCTCCCGTTCGTCCGTCCGTCCGTCCGTCCGTCCGTTACGTACGTACGAAAGCCGCTTTCGCAAATTCATAAGCTTTCAAGGTCTTTTCAAGGTCCATTCATAACACAGAAGATTACCTTTTGGGCTAAAAATGGAAAGAAGAAACACCAAACAATGCTTGAGAGGCACCAAAGAGAAAAATCTTGGGGTAGAGAGTCGATGGAGAGGACCTGGAGAAATAAGCTTTCCTTCGATGGCGCAGACATGACGACCCATGCGCTTTCATCTGTGTTGGGACTACAGATCGCGGATTTAAGAACGGTGCATGCTAAATACAAAGGTTTTTGCGCCAGGTTAGGACCACGCGGAAAAAGTAGATCTTTCCAAGGGCTAATGGAATCCAAAAAGAAAAATGGGGGTAGCCACGCATTTTTTCAAGATAATTAGCCTTGAGTCTCAACAAGAATGCTGACATCAGCATTTTTCTGAAAAAGAAGGAAAGCGTATTTCTTCACAGATTTCCTTAGAATTCGCCTTTACACACAGAAAAGTAAACACATTTAAAAAGATCTTTAAACTGCATGACAAATGGTAACATAAAAACCATTTTTGGTATGTTTTTAACAACAAAATCGTTGCAACAGCGCTTTTAGCGTCTCTGACAGCCTTRCTCTGGTTCAGCTAAAATACAGTCTAAATACCTTTCGCTCACAACCACAAACTAATCACGTGTTCTACAGGCTTGCCACTTCCATTTCATAACATAAAATGTAGGGGTAACCACGCGTTTTTTAAAGTTATTGATCTTTTTTGAAAAGTTTTACGGTGCCCGTTACATTTTTCCTGTCACCACCCCAGTAAGTAAGACATTTGCGTATCTCGCACTTGTTTTGCGCGCGCACTACGCCATGTGCAGGTACATGTTTACAGTTGTATTTCAGTATAATTTTCGACAGACAACAGCTAGTTTTTCAGCTGGAAGACGTTAATAGTTAGAGGTTAGCGATGTGCTGCTATTCTAGTGTTCCTGGTTTAAGTACAGGCTCATTAAACTTGATTTGGCCACAGTGAGAATTTTGTTTTCATCTTAGTCGTGTACTTGGTAGCGTAGTTGATTGCGTCAATCGTGAATAATGCACCGTCCTTAATGCAACTTTCAGGAATCCCATACAAAAAGGACGGGGGTGCTCGTCGGAAACTTTGAAAAGAACCCCTAAGAGGTACCAAGATCCTGTTTTGTGGGCGTGGCTTGAAATTTTTCACCAATAAAACAACATTAACACATTAAGTGACACTGACTTTCCCTCTCCCCTAGGAGAGCTATATCTTTTTAATCTTCAAAGTACCGAGCCAAAGCTAAACAGCAATGATCCTCTATGTGCCTTTAGTGGCACAGTAGAATAATAACATTTTGTAGCAATATCTCATTAAAAGATGACTTGTGATCAAACGATATATATACATATGTCCATTATGTTTTGAAAGCCGCAGTCGTTATAAATATTTTTGGAATGGGCTATCGACGTTGAAGCTAATAAATATGATCAAAGATAAATGTTCTTCCTTGTTCGTTCATTTTAGGTCACACTTGTTCTGGTTGTGAAGCTGTCAGGAGTATGGGCGTTTTCCTCAGGTCCTCCGTTGAGCACGTGCGAGGACATGTTTGCTTATCACAAAATTAGGGGCATGGTGCCGCGGACATATAACAAGGCTCAAACTGGAGAGTCGCCATACAACGTCAGCGTGTCCAACAGTTCGTACTCTGCTGGAGAAAATGTCACAGTGACGATCTCAGGAACAATTACTTTTAATGGATTTATTTTACAAGCCCAGGGAACTGACAGTTCAGTCCCGTGGCCAGTGGGAGAATTCGTCGACATCCCGAGTGGTACGTATTCTCTTTTGTTTCTTTCAGCCGTGGAGCGTGACAAACTAAGAACGTGTCTTATCACGCAATTTGTAGCTATGGAGGTTTTATTTCACAGTCTTTTTCTCGGAAGTCTCGCGATTCTGACGTCGCAACGAAACGTATCAGACTTTCTTGACCCTGGACAGGATCCTCCCTTTTTAACAAGTAAATTCGAGGGTTCTAAAACAAACCTCTCATTATTTCTCACAAAGCCAAATACCAGACACGGCTATAACTTAAGATCTAAACCAGGTTCAGTAGCAATACAAAAGTCAGGACTAACTCGTTTTTAGCAAGAGCTGCAAGACTCCTCCTTTTATGATCTGTTTTTTTACTTACCTTACTAGTAATTTTACTTAGTAGTTATTGACTATATATGTATTCCCTTTAAATTATGTAAATCCGTTGTATATGTTTCGTTCAAAGTTGAATAAATAAAGCTTATTATTAAACCTTACATACGGAAATCCAACTCTGGCCATCTCATAATAGCTGAAGCTTACGTGTTTATATTATTTTCCTATTTTTTCAGGCGCTCAACATGTGTATTGCTCTGGTGGAGGACCGAAGGTAATAATTAAGGATCAATCATTAACTTGTAGGAAAGCTCTCTTGGCATCTCTTAGAGTAGAGCTTACTTCACTCCTTGCTGTACAAAACAGAGCAAATTGTGAACAGTTGGAATACCTCGCAGGAGGTATTCTCCTGCCAAACAGGGCTTCCTTGCAGGCTAACCTCTCGCACATTGTCTGACAATCGTACATTGTCTGAAATGTCGCGGGCACTTTTTATCAAGTAAACTGATTTCTCTTTCTTCTTCTTTTGTTTAGAACACAGTCGGTCATAAAAACTCAAGATACAACAAAACTGAGTGGAACTCCCGCCAGTTCACATGGATGGCCCCTGCAAAGGGCGCTGGGAACATTACTTTCATGTAAGAAGACACAAGCTGTAAATTTCTCCTTGTAATATCGATTACTCGTTGACTTTGTAGTTGTTTTCGATAAATTATTGTCGTTTTGTTTTAAATTGAAGTTGTTTTGGTAGCAGGTAGAATACCCCTTTCCGTAAAGTCGCGTATGTCACCATTTCGTGTTTTAAAATTGTTCTTTAAACATGCTTTTAATTTTGAAATTTCCAACGTACGTATGACAGAAAAATTGTCGTTTCAGTCCGATGCTTTTAGTGACAAGAGCATTTTATTTTGACCCAACGGATGCATACAGAGTTAACCCATAGTAGTGCTGAGCAATGTACTGTTGTAAAGACGATCTGTAATGATGATCTATATCGAATATGTAATCTTCGCTGGCTTTTGAAAACAATTGATTTGTTTTATGTAAATTTACAGGGCCACTATCGTTCATAACTACTCCACATTTTGGACCAAACTAACCTCATCTGTAGTTGCCGGGCCACCAGCGGAACAGGTCAATAGAGGGGCCACAACTGAGAGCTTTCAGGTGAGCCTATCCATGTGAGATCCAAGCATGTTGTCACGTGAGAAGCTCCTTGTCGCTGACCAGTAGACGAACGTTCCGGCTGAGACTCAAAGCCGTAAAGCGCGAAAATCCAGCACCACTATCCGTTTTCGTCGCCTCAAAGTTTGTTAAGCCTTTGAGTCTAATATGAACATTTAGATTTTTGTGAGGAAAATTATAGAAGAGCAATGATAAATCAAATTACAAGTCGGTAAACTAGATCGAGTTTTAACCTTGCAACAAACTTTGTTTCGAATATTTTTTTGAATTTGACGGCAAGAATAAAAGACTTTCCAGGAAATTGTTAAATATATATTTGTCAGTAACGTTCTTGGGCTTTTTCTAACCAAAGGTATCTGCTATGTTTAGGTCTGCTTCCATCAAAGATGATGTTGTACTTCACAAAACGACTCATTTTTTATGACATTATAGATTGACAAGATTGGATGTGGAAAGACCAAAGGCTGTTACTCGCTGCCATCATCGTGTACCGGAAGTGCTGACTGTAATTATCTGTTCACCTACCAAGTTTTCGGCGAAAGTGTTACCATTGAAATGAGTGCTAAAGAACGATGGGTTTCAGTTGCCTTTAATGAGAAGAAACTAATGGTACGAGTATTCTACAGCTGGTTTTTTTTTTTACTGTGATGAATCGACGATTACTAAAGCATCATCAAACTGACATGGGCTGTAGCACGAAAAAGTAGGACTGAGACAATGTCCATGAAAACATTATCACTGAAGCAATGTCCATGAAAAAATTATGACTGAGGCAATGTCCATAGTTTAATTCTCTTTCAAAGTATTTAGGGTGTTTATGATAACTCTAAACAACAAAAAGGGAAACAATGACTGAAGCAAACGCCTGTTACTAGCTACAAACCTAACTGGTCAATTTAAAATAGCTGATTTATTCTTAAGACCAAAACACTCCTTTTGAGAAAACTACTTTTCTTCGTCAAAATATCGTCTTCATGTAACCTCATTGGTTATTTAGTTTAATAGTATCAATGTCGTTTTCATTGTTTCTTTGTTTCTGGGTGTTGTTTTAAAGGACAAGATGGACTCCATTTGGTGCGTCACCATGGCAACTAACCTGGCGGAATTACGTCATTACTATTCTCATCGCCACCACGTTGACCGACAAAACCTGGTAAGGAGTTGTGATTGTATGACATAAGGTCTTGAGAAGATTACTAACAACAACGAACACTCTGTAGGCTGGCAACAGTGATATCACTTTGACGAAGATAGTTTACGAGGACGGTGGAATAAAGTGCAAGTAAGAGAGGCGCCATATTCGTTTTACGTCACATATCTTGCGTGCCTGAAAAGACAATGTTAATGAATGTTTTCTTTTTTATTGGCATCAGGTTGACTCGCAAACTTACCTCAAGTGCGGATTACTTCAGAGATCTGACAGAGAAATGGTATCTTCTTTTCTCCCATGGACCAACAAGTACGTTTATCAGAGTTGATTCTTTTTCAAAAGTCGATCCTTTTAGTTTCAAGCCCCTACCTGACAAAGACCATGAACATGTCTTGGTTCAGTTAAAGAGGCAAGCCATCCATTTGCAAGTTCGTCTGGTGTGAAGTCTTCCAGGCTTCACATAACCATTCCCTTCTATTAATTCAGTACGCTATGAGTGAAAGTGTGTTTTTATGCTCTCAGGTCTTTCAGGCAGTACACAGTATCATTCTGAAAATAGAACGTTCACTGGTGCCATGGTAAATCTCTCTGTCCCGGCAATATTGTCTCATGAAGAAGTCAAAGAAACGGTAAGACGTGATGTTCAGTTGTAACAACCTTGATTCATTGAACACTCTCAGTCTGAGAACACGCTCAGTGATGGGAAATGACATCGTGTCTGAAAAAAAAAAAAACTGAGCTTGTGGTCCTTGTCACCTCTGTTGCTAAGCAACCCTGTTATTTCTTGTTACTGCGTCATGCTGACGTGACGATTATCAGTATACCCATGCGTCGTGCTAACTTCTCTTAATCATCATCTGTTCTTTTCGCGCCATGCAAGCTTATTATCATAATAAGGCCTCCACACTACTACCCCCCCAGCTGACCTGGAGCCTTTTGGAAGACGAGTTGAAACCAGCTCTTTCGCTGAGTATGTAACATAGCCGAAGGAAACTATTCGCATACAGAACACAACACAACACCGAAGCACACACGCGGGGATTCACTGGGGCACAGGCTCCACGCTACAAGTGCTTGAAAATAAGAATGTTTGAACACAGCATTTTTTACTTGAACTTTGACTCAACTGCTGAGATTATTAATATTATCGTTCTTTATTGATCTTTGATTGTGATTACTTCAGATTACCAAAGATGGATGCGGTAAAACAAAAAGCTGCTATTCTGAGCCCGAGAGCTGTACGACCAGCAGTGACTGCCGGTATCTCGTGACCATGAAACCCGTGGGGGGTGAGGATAGCGATTCCGGTGAGGTAGAATTTGAGCTCAGCACCGTGGGACAGTGGGGATCCATTGGTTTTAATAACGAAAAGAATGAAATGGTAAGACAGTGGACTGGTCCAATACTAGTAATGTGAGAAAAGTTAGTTTACCTTCTTTGTGGTTCTTTAGTCCGCAGGTTACTTCATTGAGTGTAACATAGCGTGGCTTGTCCGCTAGAGTGGAATGGTAGCAATCTATATCCGGATACCACTTCTGTTTTTTTTTTTTTTTTTTT